AAGAAGTAGGGACACAAACAAGTGAATTACAAAAGCTACTCACAGAAATAATCCAGGAGAATTTTCCTAATTTAGCAAAAGGGAAAGATACTCAGCTGTATGAGGCATACAGGACCCCAGCTACCTACAACCCTAACAGAGAAACACCCAGGCATATAATAATAAAAATCCCAGAAATTCAATACAAGAACAGAATATTAAAAGCTGTAAGAGACAAGAAACGGATCACTTACAAAGGAACACCCATCAGAATTACAGCAGATTTCTCTTCACAAACCATCAAATCACGAAGAGCATGGGGGGAAATAATTCAAGCTGTGAAAGATAATAATTTCCAGCCAAGATTGAGATACCCTGCACAACTGTCCCTGGAAATTGATGGAAAAACGAGGTGCTTCCAGGATAAAGAGGAACTGGGGGAATTTGCAACCACCAATTCAACTCTACAGAAAGTATTGCAGGATATTCTAAAAAAAGAAAAATACAAAGAACCCAGAAATAGTGGCAGGGAGGCCACAACAAATGGAGCAGAGAACAAAATGAAGAAGACAAACTGACAGCTACTGACAGAAAAAGAGCTCAACAGAAATGAGACAGAGAAGATTGGATGATAGGAACAGCTATTTTTGAGAAAATGACATCTTAATAGGTAATGCTGATTCAGTACCATCTTGTTTTGAAGTCTCATCTAGCTTTTGTTCTTCTGTCTCCAATGGTCTAACCAGGTTGTATCTTATTGGATTTTGTTATGTACGTTAGTATAAGCAAAAACCTTTTAAAGACAAGGAGATTATACAGAGACCATTGTTCATTTTCTGTTAGTCAATTCCAAATACTCTATAATGCTGTCATTCTCTTAAATGGTTTTACATTGTTTTGATATACTTAATGCTACAGTATATGAAGTTGTACTCAAGGACTTCAGGGAGGGAGTCAATATGGTAACTATTTTTAAGTCGGAAATATCTGGTGGTGAAACACTATTCTGCTTAAAAGGTTATGTTTTGATCTGCCCTGTTTCGCTGTTATGCCCTCTTTTTCTTTTTCTCAATCTCCACTCCATTATATACTTTTTTATTGTTATCCATTTAATTAAAGGGAAAAATATAGCAGGATATAATATAGTAACCCACTTTGACTTTCTATTTTCTCGATTTGAAGCCCTGTATTACTCTCACCATCTTGTTTTTGACTGAGGTTCCTCTATTCTGTTTTGCTGAATAGTATCAGGCTCGAAAGTTTAGGCATCAGCTGAGAAGATAATGAGATTCATTATAACGCCCATTCTCGTTGACTTCTATCTACTTTTGAAGACCTACAATATCTCCAATGTTTTGGTTTTGTCGGTTTTATCCTTTACGGTTTTGTTCAATAGTATTACAACTAATAATATAGGCAATTCTATTAGAAATAGCGGGAGGCATTAGGGTAACCATTGTTGATCACCTTGTATTATGTTTTTATATTATCTATTATATCCACCCTTTTGACTTGACCGATTCTGTTCTGTTATGTCACATTTGGTTTTACTCTCTTCCAAAAAAGCAATAAGAACAGTGGGAGCAATGAAACCCAAAATGTGTAATAGTCACTGTACAAAAGAGAGGAAAAGAAAATGCTCTAAACTATATAACTGCATGTATATTTAAATGTATAAGACAGAAAATGATATCACAGAGTTCTAATGGATCATTGAACAGAACTGTTTGCAGTATCATTGCTGGAATGTCCACTCTACAAACTTTAATTCTGTGACTTGAACAATTATTTCTAAGATGGCAATATGTAATCTATTAACTAGTGATTTCCTACTGCGCATTTTTTTCTTCTGTAAATCTGTATAACTTGTACCCTTCACTGTTTTTTTTTTCTTTTCTTTTCTCCTTAAATAAAAATTAAAAAAAAAAAAAAAACAAATCTAAAATAAGCCCAAGAGATCCTTCTGAGGTCATGAAAATGTTCTCAAATTGGGTAGTGGTGGTGATTGCACAATTCTGTAAATTTATTAGAAATTTATAAAAGCAGGTGAATTTATGTAAATTATGGTATGCAAAACTTTTTTCTAAAAAAAAAAAATCAAACCTATTTGAACTGCTAGAAGATATAAAATACCAAGTGCAACCAGAATGCGGTGGCACCATCAAAGAGTGAAAATATACTCCATGGCATGGGAAATACATTGGCAATATCAGGTAACATGAAAGAAATATGTATAACCTCAATGCCACTCAGGTATATAGCCCCACGATGCCTATATATATACATATATATCTCCACTAAAAGACATGTAGCAGTTTCATAGTCACAGAACTCATAATGCCCCAAACTAACAATTACCCAAAAATCCATCAACCTGTGAGTAGAAGAGGCTAGCCAGGAGAAGAGACGAATCAAAGTGAGAACCACAGAGCCATGACAACAAATCCATCTACAACCTCATGAAACCGGTCATAAATGTAATGGCTTTGTGGATGGATCAGTGTGTGAAACTCACAAACATAAAGATAAGTGAAAAAGTCAGACCCTCAAAAAGCACAAACTGTAGGAGCACATACACGGATATAAATGCACACACATATGTATAACTGATAAAAACAAGACAAATTATTCTCTGGATAGTATTTATCTTGGGGGAAAAGAGAAGCATCCAGAAAAGAGCATAAGAGGTGGATGTTCGTTTCATTTATGAAAATTCAGTGAATTCAGTATTTTTCTTTATTATTCCTTGCTACCAAAGCTTCATTTTCCTTGTTGCCCTTCACTCAAAACTTGTCACAGTTGACTCTGTGCTCCATCTCCACCTGCTGGCCATTCTGTGAGCTACAATGCTCGATTAGAGAGGGCCCCTGAGGCAGGTGGGCTGAGAGGGATGCTGGTTAATACTTTGGACAGAAGACAAAGCCAGCCAACCAGCCAAGCCCTTCCAGGGTGCAAAAACCACTTTGGGGACCTTCTGTTGAAGCCTACAGCATTTCTCAGACCCAAAACCTGCATGTTCACTCAAATGGAGTGGGACAAAGTCATCAACCTAGTCACCACCCTCTGGTCGCCATCTCTCCTACGCACCCCAGATCTCACCTACAACTGTAGTCTGGAGGTCTTCACTAGGATAACATGTCTCTCTCACATCCTACATCTTAAAAAAAAACCTATGCACTTGGGAAAACAGATGTATTTAATATACCATGAGGTTAGCAATCATTAATTTCACAGCTATATAAAAACCTTTACATGTATTTACTTAGATTTTACTCTTAAGGCAAAATACAGATTTTTTAACAGACATATACAGAATTCTTGTCAATTCTGTACTGAAAAGAATTAAAGGACATCTCTAGAAATCTAATAAATTTAGGAAACAGTGTTACTGACCATATATATAGACTTACTACCCAATACAATTGTATCTCATTTATATAGTAACAAAATGCTTCATTTAATAAATTTCAGTAGATGTAGATCAAGCTTTAAATGCCAGAACCAACTTTAAACAGATGTGAAGATATTTTACCGCTTTGTTTGATCTTTAGATATACGTTGTGTGACAGACAGCACCTGATATTTCTGTATGTAGCAAATGTATGCAGTCTTAACTCTGTACCTGAGATTCTCCTGATCTCAACAAAAATTGTCCTGGCTCGGGGACAGAATAACCAGCTGCTCCGGGACTTTTCTTACCTTGCTTCTTTCAAGAAGTTGCCACAGTCCTCTTTGCCTCCTGTTGGGCCCTGTTTGTCTTGTAAAGAAGTTTCTCACAATATGGGGACTGTCCTGACAGAGGCAGGGCCACTGCAGGGGTTTAACAGTGGAGGACAGGGAACTCCACACGCACCTAGGGAAGTTAGGGATGCACAGCTGCAGAGCAGGGCCAGGTCAGGGAGCTGACAACACTAAGAGTGAGCAGCAGATGGAAGGGAAATGCTTCCTCACCCAGCCTGATGGGATACTGGCAGAGGGCAGGCCAGGCTGGACAGGCGTGGGCTGCGGGATGGTGGAGGATGAGGAGCCAATCAGATGTTAAGGGTGATCAGACATCAGAGAGGGAGGCTTCTGGCCAACTGACTTAGCAGGACATTTCCTAAAACTGGACAATGCAGATATGAACACAGAAGCCAAAAACAAACTCAGAGTGAGGAAGATGAAATAAACATAGGTGAAAAATTAAAACAACACTGAGATTCCAGCTCACCCTGGAAAGAATGACTATGTCAAGAAATCACCAATAACAAATGCTGGAGAGGCTGTGGGGAAAAAGGAACTTTCTCCACTGTTGGTGAGAGTGCAGACTTGTGCAACCACTGTGGAAATCAGTGTGGAGATTCCTCAAAAAACTAGGATTATAGGTCCCATTGGACCCAGCAGTGGATAACAGATTAACTTAAACTGATTTAACTTTTGGTCACCCCATGGCCTTGGTGCTATACTAGTCCATATGATTTGTTTGTTCTGGAGGAAGCCTTACAATCGTATTGGGTTTAAGGTAATGAATGCAGAAACCTTGAGTCTCAGTGGAATGCTGCTGGGACAGCACGACATGCTTTGCTAAGATGTCCCCAAAGGACTGTAAATGTGAAAGGCCAAGTGTAGCTAGAGACGGGCCCTGGGATAGTTAAATTTAGTTACCACTTATCTGACCTTTACCCTTCCAACATCCAATTCTGTCCTTAAAGAGAAGACTCTGACAAAAACCCAGAGAAAACTACTTGGGGCTCAGTTCTAGAGGCTGTTGCCCACCCCCATCCCATAAGTTGGTCTCTTCTTTTCATCACCAGACCTTGTTTTTGGGACCTGTGTCCTCATAAAAAAAAACTAACACCCACTATTCCTCTTCTGAGTATCTTCCCAGAACTGAAAACATCATACCACAGTGATATATGTGCACCCATATTTATAGCAGCACAATTTGTAATAGCCAGAGCTTGGAAACAACCTACGTGTCCATCAACTGAGGAATGAATAAAAAAGATGTGGTATTTTTATATAATAGAATAGTACTCAACCATAGAGAAGGATTAAGTTGCTGGTTTGAGCTGCTGGTTCTCCTGGAGGAGCTTGTCATGCTGGCTTTCCCAGTGTGAGCTCGACTGTTGTCATCAGAGGAGCTTGGAACCTTGTTGGTGACAGTGGCTGTGGTTCACTTTGGGGGAGCTCTGGTCTTTACATCAGGCATTGCTTCCTGGCTCTGGAAGGGAAGATGTGTGCTATTTAGTCTCCAGGAGAAGCTTGTCGTGCTGGCTTTCTGGCACGTACCTGACTGTTCTTGTCATCAGAGGAGCTCAGGGCCTCCATGTCACTGAAGATGGCTGTGGTGCTTTTCAGGACAGCCCTGGTCTTTATTATGAGTGTGACTCCTCTGCTCCAGTGTAGAACCCTCAAGCTACCCACACTGCTCCTTCACCCCACTGGCACAGACTTTCTAGCTTCCACCGCTGACCTTTGGGCCTTCCCAGCACAGATCCATAAAACAGACTGGCGTGAGTCCTTCTTGTGGGCTCTAGACCTCCAGTTGGACTTATAGGAGGCATTGTCATGGGCTCTAGGTCATGGTGTGAACTCATATGGGACATTGCTGTGGGATCCAGGCCCTTGGCTGAATATTCCAGGTCTTTAGTGTTGTGGACAGATTTCTTGCACTTTCTTGTGTTAACTCTGGGTGACCATCATAAATAATATTATAAATTCTGTGTCCTGATTCTAATTGTTTGCCTCATAACCCCTCACTACAACAATTATCTCAAAGAATATTTAGGACAAAATTATTCTTCAAGAAAGAAAAATCTGAGATATTCCCACATTTTTAAAAATTGAGAAAATTCATTGCTAAGCCTATTTCATAAGAAATAGTAAAGTGAATTCTTAGGTGACATAAAAGGACATTAGACAATATCTTGAATCCCACATGAGGAAACAAAGAATACCCTGATTGACGTGTTTTGAAATTTTGTGTTAGCTTTCTTCTTTTTCTCCTTGAAATAAAATGGATTTGGAAACAAAAACTGAAAGCTTTTCGCTCTAAAATCAGGAATCTGACAAAGATGTCTTTTATTCAATATAGTTCTGGAAACATTAGCCAGAGCAATTAAACAAGAGAAGAAATAAAAAGGAGTATTGAAAGGACCCTTATTCACAGATGATGTGATGCTTTACATAGAAGACTCCAAAACTGACACGAAAGACTTCTAGATCTAATAACCAAAGCATCGCTGGACACAAAGTCAACACTCAAGTCAACAGCATTCCTGCACACAAACAACAAAGTCACTGAGCGAGAAACTAGGGAAACGGCACCCTTCACATCCAATAAACTGAAATAGGAATCAATATAATGAAGAAAGGAAAAGACCTTTAGACTGAAAACTCCAGCACTCTGAAAAAGGAGACTGACGAGGACATCAGAAAACGGAAAGACACCCTGTGCTCTTGGGCAGGAAGAACCAGTACAGTGGAAATGGCCATACTGCCAAAACTGTTATACAGGGTCAACGCAATCCCAGCCAAAACCCCAACACCGTCTCTTCCAAGTTCTGGTCATCTGTGTTTCTAGAGGAATTTGAGAATTTCACCTACAGTAATTTCATCTCAAAATTGCTATCACATTCTCCTATTTAACTTCTTGCAGTATTTCTGGCAATGACCTCTCTGCTGATTTTGCGTCTTGTCCCTTTTTTTTTTCACCAGCCTGCCTGGACGTTTTTCAGTCTTGTGTACAAACATCATTTGGGTTCACTGATTTTATTTTTGTTTTCACTTCCAATTTCAACTGTTTTCTGTTATTTCCTTCCTTCTGCGTTGGAGTCAATTTGCTGTACTTACTCTAATTTCTAATTTATTTTAGATTATTGAGACCTTGTGATTTTTGCTTGTTGAGACAGGGTCTCACTAGGTAGTTCAGTCTGGCTGTGAACTCACTATGTAACCCAGGCTGGCCTCAAACACAGCAGTTCTCCTGCCTCAGCCTCCCAAGTGCTGGGATTACAGGCATGTGCCACCAACCCCTTGAGGTCTGTCTTACGTACAAATTCAATGCAATACACTTTCCTTTAAACATTGCTTTAGCTACATCTATGAATTTTGATCTTTTTGATTTCTCTCAAATACAGGTGCTCCCATTTAGTGACCTACCTGTTTAACGACTGCTTGGATTTACATTTGAGGCCATCATTTATGACCCACTGCTTGGACTAACGATGCAGGAGCAAGGGTGGCAGCATGGCCCTGTGGCGGCCTGTATAACATAGTAATATTTGCTGACTACACAGTACAGTACTGCAGCTGTATGCTGCTATTCTAGTTACACAAATGTAAGCAGTCGAGTTGGTTTCCTTCGACCACCTCACCACTCTGAATATTGTAATGTGCACACTACATGCAGTCCCTCAAACAGCAACTAGTTCACTCACCGACTGCGTGGCAGGACTGTAACTCAGTCTAACGAGGAATGCACTTCCTAATTCTCTTGAGACTTAATTAAGCTAGGGATTAGTAAGGTTTGTTTTACAAACCAGGATATTACCGTGCGAACGTTCCCCGAGCACTTGGAGCACATCTGTGAAACGCCATCCAGGTGTTAGCTGAGTGTGCCTTGTTAGAGGTGTTAGCTCTTCTGCACCCTTGTTCAATTCGCTGCATGGATACTGAGAAAGGATGCTGGCCTTCCTAGGTGAGCCTGGGAAGCTTTCTTCTGTCAGGTCCCTCAGCTTTTGCTTTATACACACACTGAGCCCTACCAGAGGGGCCACGGTGTGGATGTGCTTTGTCCCACTGTGTGGTGCTATCATGGCAGTGAAGCCCTAGAGGTGAGGCTGGCGGGAGGGAATCAGGTCCCTGGGCCACTGCCCTGGGAAGGGGTAAATGCTGGGGTGGTGCAGTCAGTTCTTGTGAGGGGGTTGTTATAAAGCAGCACCTCCACAGGCCTGGTGCCCAACATATGTTCTGCCAAGTTCTGACTGAGCCAGGGACCCTTACCAGAGGCCAAATGGATGTTCAGTCTCCAAAACTGTAAACTGCATAAAATTCTTTTCTTTCTAAAGTATACAGCTTCAGGTTTTTGTTACGGTAAACAGATTAATAGTAGATACAAATATGTTCCAAAGTATGATTCTTCATGAATCATTTCCTTTATCATTACAGTGATGGACAAATTTCAGAGCACTTTGAAAATGAGACAGAGATGGATACTACCAGCGGAGGCCAGGCTAAGGCAGCACAGTCTGAGGAATCTGAGCTAAACTTCCAGAAGAAAAGTGGGGGATAGAGCAGGCAGTCGGCTAGAAAGGACAGCAGTAACGCAGGTATGAGACCACAGTCTAACATGGATGTGCAGGGTCATTTAAGAGTGTCTCGCTCCTAATTTGACACAAAGGTGTATTTGCCTCTCAAAAAAAACTGTTAAAAACAAGTTCATCAACTTCTCCAAGTGACCTGCAGCCTCTCAAACCTCTGTCTGGTCTTTCACCTTACAGGTGAGACAGGCACCACCTTAGGCGTCTAAGATGTTTTCCTACATGCACAGTGCCCAAGCATCAAACGATTCGCGATTCGCCAGATAGGATCTGGAAATATGCTGCTAAATTGTCATATGTAATTAATTACAAATATTTGCAGGATTTATAATAAACATATAATGCAAATGTTCCTGTTTATCTTTCTATGTAACTGACCATATTATCCAGCTCAGAAGATTTTGAGGTTTTGGGGCCGGATTTAGCTCAGTGGCATAAGCACCTGCCTTTGCAAGCACATGGTCGTGAGTTTGATCCCCGGTACTAAAAAAAAAAAAGATTATGAGGTTTAACAAAGAAAGTTAGGGAGTTGCCTATCTCCTGGCATATAGAAGGTGCGCACTAAGGCTGGCCAATGTCAGCTTACACACAAGTCTAAATTCACCTTCTACAAGTAGAAGCTTAAAGTTACATGCGACCTTTAGAGGAGATAAAATATCTGAGGGTAAGGTAATGACTCCTTTGCTCCGCCTTTTCCCTCCGATTTCTTCCAGCAGCTTCTGGAGCACCTCCTTGCCTTCCTCCCTAGCCATCACCAGGGTGGCACTGACAGATGACTGCTCTCGTCTGTCTTCGGTCTCCGAGTGCCCAGGACACATCCTGGTCTCTCCTCTTACGTCTTCTCTAGTCAATCCTTGCTTGGGGTACATGCAGCCCTTTTTCTTGCTTTAGGTTGATTGGACTACAATCAAAACATGCTAGTAAGTGACTGGACTACTTCCAAACATGCTAGTAAGTGTTACTAGACTTGGTGTTTTCTGCACACACCACAAGTTACTGACGCTATTATTTTCCCTAGCAATAAAACAGTATGATGATTATAAATTTAGTATTGAGGTATCAGTCTAATAATAATCAGTACTAATACATAAAAATGCATTTTCTGAACCTTTATACTTGGAAAGTTTTGTATTTATGTACTGTTACAAACATCACACTTCAATTTTATACTGCATCAAAGTACATTAATTTGGCTATCTTTATGAACTAATGAGAAAGCTAAATACTGTATACTTGTATTTGAACAACAGAAACGCCGGTTTACACTAAGCTCAAGAATGGCATATCAGAACAAGAAGCCAGTTCCATCTTCCTGTGAGTCGGCAGAAGCTGTGCTGGGCCCGGGAGAGGTAACGAGAAGCCAATTCACCCTTCCTATGAGACAACCAGCGCTCCGACCCCCTGTACCACCAGGTGATCTGGAGGACAAGCCAAGCAGACAGCACCTGAGCACCAAAATAACTTAATGCTTACACTGTGTGATTGCTTTTGCAGGCCTAAGGCCAATAATCTAAGCACCTATTAGAGAATAATAATAATAATAGCAACTATGGGGGATTTCCTTCTGTCTTGTTTTTGAAATCCAGTATTGTTTTCAGTTGCATTTTGTTCTGTTTTATTGTTTTGTTTTAGTCAGTGTTCTGACTGGTTTCATCCTGTTTTGATTTTATGTCTGCTGGTATGGGCAGCAATTTTGAAGATAACAAAGGCATTAAAGCATGTAAGAGGCATATAGTTGACTTCCTATTATCCTATTTTGAAATTCTGTATCACTTGCACTATTATGTTTTGATTAGCTTAATTCTGTTTTGATTTTATTCTCTTAAAAAAAAGAATGACATGTCAAGAGATATTTATTTTATTTCTAACAGTAAAATACTGGAAATAAGTGTCCAACAGAATTGGTTTTTAAAAAAAATCACAGAATCTCAAATTTTAGCTATAAAATGGAATTGTCAGCTATCATTAAAAATACTTTTTTCCAAGTACTTAATGACATGTAGAGATCGAACTGCTCGACTGCTTCACTCATTCTCACTTAGACTAACTTAGCTTCTTATTTTATTGCGAACTCTTGGTCAAACAGCAAATACATCTGCAAAGTACTGCCACATGAGCCCAGATGCCTGCAGAAAGGCGCCTGCACTCCTCCCTGTCCCAAGCGCGGGAGCGCTGCAGCGAAGAGGGATTCTTCCTTCACTGTGCTGGGCACTGGCACTGCACCCCTCCCGCCATTCTGCCATCCATGGAAGGGCTGCCACACATCAGCACAATAACACCAGAGGGCGCTCCAAGTCAGGAATCCTGTGGGTGGCTCCCACCACCCATGTGCACCAGGCGCAGGCTTTATGACCACCCTGCATCTGTACGAGACTACGGAAGAACAGAACAAAAACACATTAGGCTGTGAGAATTACCAACTTAGCTTCCCCTCAAAAAACCAACCTCTCCCCCCAAAATAGCATGTAGCAGAAGAAAACACAAAAATCCAAAATGAATTAATTCTTCTTTAGGAAACAGAGAACACCTTGAATTACAATTCGAGCAGAATGGAACAAACATTGGAAATAATGAAACCAGTTTTAAAAAAAAACAAGAAAGGGTTGACTGGCCCCAGAAATAAGGAAAAATATTTCATGAAAAAAGACTATTATTAACAAAGAAGAATTTGGAAATATAGTAAAAAAAAATAAAAAATCTATGACACCATCAAAAAGTTCATGGTTATGAACACAACATGGTAGACAATTACAACACAAAGAAATCTACATATTCAGTGCAATTCTTATCAAAATCATAATGACAAGTTTACAAAAACAGGAAAATCCCTCTTAAAATTCATATGTAATCTCAAGTGATCTCAACCAAAACGACCTTGAAAAAGTGCAAATAGTTCGCTACATAGTTCAGGATGGCCCTGAACTCATTATGAAACACAGGCTAGCTTTGACTTGAAGCAACTCTCCTGTCTCAGCCTCCCAAGTGCTAGAATTACAGACATATGCCAACACACCCAACAAAACTGGACTTGTTAAAAACTAAAACACTTCTGTGCATCAGAGGAAACTATCAACATAGTGAAAAACCAACTGACAGAATGAAGAAAATATCTGCAAATTCTGCAAATCTCCTACGTGGTTAAAATTCACAGTAAGGAGAACATTTAGAACTAAAAACAAACACAAAACACCCAATTAAAAAATGCAGCAAAGGGACTTCCGGGAGAACATGGCAGATAGATAGCAGCAGCTTCAGAAGCTCTCTGAAAAACCACACTTAAAATCCAGGAATGGTGCCAAGCGAGAAGTCCTAAGCAAGCGGAGATACACCCTGCCGACCCAGGAACGAACTAAACTAAGAGAAGCCAACTGGAAACGCAATCCTGATGATATAACAGAACAGATAAGGTCTCAGCACAGAAGCTGAAGCCGTGCCACTGGCAGCCGAGATTTGAATTTCCTGCAGCCGCCGCTGCGTCCCAATCGGCATAGCAAGTAGAGAGACACAAAAGCTCTGAGAGTGGGAAGCGGTGAATGGAGTTGAGAGCGGGACTGGCCAGGAGCCCTGCATTGACCTCCGGTGAGTGAGCGGATCTGAGACCCTTCCACAGAGTAAGAGGCTTCAGCAAAGGACATACTGCGACCGGGCAGGTTAGCCAGAACAGGAGGCTGCAGTGTCCTTAGGCATATATTCCCCTCTCAAGCGGGAATGGTGGCGAGTGCCTGGGTGACGCCGCAGACTAAGACCCAGCAGGCTAGCCCAAACCAGGTCCCAGCGCCTGGAGATGCACCCTAGCAGTGAAGCCTTCGGTAGGTTGACCTGGAAGGGCGGTTACTGAGTTTTGTTGGATCACTGAACAAAACTGTTTCCAGTCTCACTGTTTAAAAGTCCACTTTATAGGCTTTAATTTTGTAACTTGAACAACTATTTCTAAGATGAGAATGTGTAATCTATTAACTTGTGATTTCTTACTGTTTATTTTTTAAATTTTGTATTACTTGTACCCTTTCTCTGTTTTTTTTTTTTCTCCTTAAATAAAAAAAAAAAAAAAAAAAAATGCAGCAAAGGGCCTGAATACACATTTCCCCAAAGGTGATTATACAAATGGTTAATAAGTACATGAAAATACTTTGCTCAACAGCACTAAGTACAAATCAAAACCACAATGAGACATCACCTCACACCCATTAAAATGACTGCTATCGTTAGGTGTCAATTAAACAGAAATTTACGGCAGTGAATCAGAATCCCTGGGCACTACTGGTCACACAGCTCCTGTGGAAAACAGTGCAATGGTTCCTCAAGTAATCAAGAATAGATTAAGTGCATGATATACTAATTCCACTTCAGGATACATATACACAGGACAGCAGGATTTTAAAGAGATAATTCCACACCTCTGTTCATAGCAGTATTATGCACAATAGCTAAACCATGGATGTAAACCCAGTGTCCACTGACAGATGAATGAGAAATAAGCAACAAGGGCTACTATGCACACATGGAGCACTAGCCTTGCAGAGAAGAAATTCTAACATGCTCCAATACAGATGCATCTTGAGGGCAGTATACTAACTGAATAAACCACTCAAAAAATATAAATGCTACTGATGCCACTTACACGAGACATTCGGATTCTGACTAGAATCACAGGGACGGAGAGTACACTAAAGCTCCCTGGGGGGTGGGGGAAAGGTAGGATGAGGGGTCTTAGTGACAGCTGCATAACAGGAGTGCACCACACTGACCAATGGCAACGAGCACATGAAGATGCTCTCAACATCATTAGTCATTAAGAAAATCAAATTGTAACTACAACGAACTGTCGCTCTACCTCTACTAGAAAAGGCACAATCAAAATGCCTGCTATTAACCAGTTCTGTTATAGTAATGAAGGCAGTACATTAGCAGAGAGAGAGACCGAAACTAGAGATCGCAGAAACACTTTTGCTTGAGGGGACTTGATACATGTCAGAAGGGGCATTATATATAGGTCAGTGGGGAAAGTGGAGAATCAGATGATGCTTGGCAGACTAATTATTCATATGGGGTGGCGGTGAGGGAGAACAGAGGGGATGCTACAAGGTCCCTGTGTCACACAATTAAGAAGTCAGTCTTACTTCTTTCTTTATCCCTACAGTCACAGCCACACATTCTCGTGTGTAATCTGCACTTCCTTCCACAAGAGATGGAATGTACCTCTCAGGCCCTGGCTTTGGGCTGGGCCATGTGACTACTCTGCTTCCCGAGCTTCTCCCAACGGGAACAGAAGAACATGTCTCCTCTAGCCCGTGGGTCTCAGAAAGAGAATGTGATAAAGGTCACACAAGTAAGAACCATCCCAGCAGACCTGCTGCATATAGCAGAGCCAGCCAAGGACTAGACTTCCAGCCATCTGCAGATGCACAAAAATACTTCTGGTTGTATGCTATTGAGAGCTGTGTGTTGGCAACAGCTAACTGATAACACATTCAATGGACTAAGTATAAATATATAAAATGAAATTCCAGAATTTAAAAAAAAAAAAAAAAAAACATTTAGGGGAGGATCTGTTCGTTTGTTGAGACAGGGTGTCCTAGGCAGTTCAGGCTGGTTTTGAAATCACTTTGCAGCCCAGGCTGGCCTTGAACTCACAACGATCCTCCTGGCTCAGCCTCCCAATTGGTGGGATTATAGGTGTGCATCATCACACCTGGCTAGGAAAGGATTTCTTAGATTAGACATAAAACCAATCATAAGCAAAAAGATCACCCAAATTAATTATTCTGCTGAGAAGCCTCAAATAAAGTGAAGACAGCTTATAAAACAGGAGATCTGTCACATACTCTTCATGAGGGATTATATGAAAAACATAGAAAACCAATGTACAAAGGACCATCAGGAACATCACAAACCACATGTAGCCATTTCACTGGGATAAAACTAAAAACCAAATAAGCCTATGAAAAGACGCTGTACTTTATGTAAAGAAAGCCGTTAAGAAACCATACTAAATTGCTAAAAAATAAAAGTATTCACAACTATGGAATGAAATAAAATTCTTAAGTTCTACAAATTCGATGTTTAAACTATTACAAATACTGTGTGTTTGTGTGTGTGTGTGTGTGTGTGTGCGCGCGCGCGCGCACGCGCGCGCATGTGTACAAATACTTTTTAAAAACTTACATGACTCTATTCCTGGGCATATACTTTCAAAACTTGGGCACATTTATTCCAAAATACCTAGGAATACTTGTAACAGTTTGAATTAAAAAATAAAAAATAATCTAGACATCCATCCAAAGTGTAAATTGTAACATAGTCATCAGTGCTATACAGCAGTAAAAATGAATGACATGGACCTACACAAAAGGATTTTACTAGCATAATACTGAATGAAAATAGCAAGTCACCAATTTAAGAGTACTGTTAGCCATAAGCTAAACTAAACGTATTATTCAGTGAATTATATATGTTTAATAAGTGTACAAAAAACACAAGAAAATAAAAAGACAAAGCCAGATGGAGAAAGCCAACAGAGTCACATGTCTATGTCTACATGTTAAATGGTTTCATAATTTTGTTAGTGGGGGAAAGGAGAAAAATATTTCTACTTGAGAAAATAAAAGGCCTTATTGAGATGAGCATGCAAATGGTCTAGAGATTTTACAGAATAAGAAATATAGTATAGTCTACTTTTACCTTTTTTAGTCTACTTTATTTACATGTCTTCTTTTCGGTATCCAAAACCTAATTATAAAAAAAAAAAAATGACCATTTTATGCATTGGTATCTAATTAGATACACTGCCTTACTCATATTTTTCCAAAAGATTTCAGTAACACACATCCTAATCATACATAAGAAGAAATAAAAAATAATTTTATATCATTCTCCATATAAATGTTGTAATTTCTAATTCCACAGTAACCTTCTCGTATTTTACAACCTAAAGATATCCAGAAATAAGCGTCTTTTGACTCTTTTTTGCTTTTTTTTTTTTTTTGTAGCCCAGGTTAGGCTTGAACTTGCAGCAATCCTCCTGCCTCAACCTCCCAAGTGCTGGGATTGTAGGCATGTACCACCACACCTGTCTTTTTGGTCTTGTTTCTTTGTTTGTCTGTTTTTTGAGACAAGGTCTCACTATGTAGTTAGGCTGGCCTTATAGTTTAAGCCGGCCCCAAATTCTCAGTGATCCTCCTGCCTCAGCCTACGGAAGAGGACAGGTTTTAAAGAAATCTTTTCTCTTCATCTGTATTTTTCCTATAATTTTGAAGAGAATACATCCAATTAACATGAGAAATGAAGGCATATAAATGAACACAACCTTTCAATAATCTTTCCACACAGACTAAAGAACACCTGGAGGAAGCACTTCGCAAACACCACTTGTCTCCTCTTGCTGTACCTCTCCCGGGAGTGTTTAAGGCCCCAGGACTCCAGCTTCCCTGAGTCTTCATAGCAGGTCTGTTGCCCTAATCTGCCGTTTCCCTTTATTGAGCTAAGCTAAGGTACTGAGGTTGCTAATCACACTGACAGTTTTAAGAATATTCCAATTTATATGCTGTCAATGAATTAAAAAATCTTTCAGCTACCCCAAAAAATAAGCAAATAAAAAATAATTTTCCAAATTAGTAATTGAAATAATTAAGTATTAAATTATTAAGTAAATTCCTGGGTAAGAGTCCTAATACATCCCACATTCAAACCTATAAGAACTCTCCCTAAAGAGTGGTTATCTTTTCAAATTTTCACCATTCTTTTAAATGTATTTTTTTTTTCCTTTTCATCGGTACCGGGGATCGAACTCACGACTGCCGCTGAGCTAAACCTCCAGCCCCTAAATGTATTCTTTAAAAATAAAAGTTTTTTAAAGATGATGACAAACGTACTTACTTTAGCCAACAGCTCCTGTGTTTCGGCCGTCAGGGGAGCATGGGAAAACCTGCAGTGCTCTCCCTGGTAACATTTTGTTCCTGTGTGATAAAACTTGCAGGGGTATTCATGTGGCACAAATGTTAAGGAAGAGAACAATCTTAATCCGTATCATAATATTTTTGCTATATAAGTATTTTTTCCTACTAGTACAAACACTGAATTCTCCTTTTAGTTTTTTAAGACAGGGTCTTGTTACATAGTTCAGGCTAGCCTTGAACTCACTATGTGCCCAGGCTGGCAATCCTCCTGCCTCAGCCTCTTGAGTAGGGGGTGAGAGGTTTCAGGCAGGCACCACAATGCCATGTTTGAATTTTCTGTTCAAAGCATGAGATAATAAATTATTATTAATTAGGTTACAGGAAAAATCTAATTTAAAACATTTTGAATAATTTTTTATGAGACTGGGGCTGAACACAGGCCTTTTCTGAGAAAAAGTCACACTAAGTAGACCAGATGCAACTGGAACTTTCAATCCTCCTGCCTCAGCCTCTCAAGTGTTACCATTACAGACCTTATTATGCGTCTTGGTTAGACAGTTTACATCAATCAGATTTAATGACTATTGCAAGAGACTTTTCCTTTGTATCTGTTCTCCTAACAAAATACAGGTATGTTTCACCAGCATGGATGAGAACTATTTGTTTTCAGTACCTTGAGAAAGGTGATTATTTTAGAGCATTCTTTTGGATTGGGGAAAATCAAAATCAATGACAGTGATCATCTTATAAATACGGGTCCTTTATATAAGCGGCTTATCTAAAATTGAATTAATCAGCCAGGCATCATGGCGCATGCCTGTAATCTCACCAGCACTCGGGAGGCTGAGGCAGAAAGATCGTTGCAAGTTCGAGACCACCCTGGGCTACAAAAGTGAGCCCAAGGCCATCATGAACTACGTGCAAGATCCTGTCTCAAAATGCTATAAATAAATAAATAAAACAACTAATTTATACAACTGTCATACTGTTTTTCAGGCTCGAATTCCTATTACTGAGTGACTGAAGAAACACAACTCATGCTGACCAAAAATGCTTCCCCCTAAATACCCACATTTCCCGCTTTCACATCTGTACCATCCACACTGAAGCACTAAGGTTACTGCCCAATTAGAGGACAACACGTACAGTTTATAATGGACAGAAAGCAAGCACTGCCCCCCCAATTATAAAATCCCCCTCTTTACAAGGTAGATTTTACGAATAAAGGTTGAATTAGCATCACAGCAGAAATTCTGACAGTGTTTTTCTGCAATTTAACCAGGTTTCAGAAACCCACTATACCCCAAGGTTGGAAAGAAAGGATTTTCATCTGAGAGATTTTTCTGAAAGATTGCTTTTTTCTTGTGGAAAAAAAAAAACTGCACAATTTGATCACTTTAATACTAAACTGGGATAATTTTGTTATAGTTACAATTCTGGTTTCATTAAATTTTTGCATTTTTAAAATGTTTACGTAAGTGGGAAAAGTTACACTATTATATCTTATGACAAAGGATATTATGCAAATACAGGCAGTTTTCACCTCGGGTACAATAGCCCTGGACATAAAACTTACACATTTCCTTTTTCTTCTCCATCTCTGTATCATGATCAAACTTACACTGGTCTCCCTGATCAACAGAAAGGATAGAAACAAGGCATTATAACTTAAGGTTAAGTCATTAATAGGCCAACAAACTTTAAATTAGTGAGTGATTCCAGAAAGAACAACAGCAACTCTTATCAGCAAGTCTACTTCTTAATGAGTTGTACTATAACCACATTTTACAACTGCTTAAGTTTCTTAAGTACTAAACATTTTTGTCACAAAGCATTTTTAAAAATGATGCACTGTTTTTTTTTTTTTTTAAATTGGTACCAGGGATTGAACTCTCGACCGTATGCTTGCAAGGCAAGGTGCTTATGCCGCTGAACTAAATCCCCAGCCCCCAAATGATGCACTTTTTTAAAAATTAAAGAGTACTACGTTAAGATTTTATGACAGAACCTCTTCTAGGAGGCAAGTTTTAGCAATTTACAGTACAGTACAGTACACAAAGGGTGTCAAATGAAAACAGCAGTTTTAGCATATTTTTGCTAAAGCATATTTTTCGCTTACACATTTTTATACCTTGATACATTTCCTTTCAAGAAAATATTTGCAAACTTTCTTGCCCTTGCGTTCCACTGTGTGCTGGTTAATGAAGCCCTGGCTCATCCGCACGGGCTGCTGCTTCTCCTTAGGTTCACCATCCTCCAAAAACAAAAACAAACTAAAGTGAAAGACAGAAAGTGAAATATTTTAAGCCACTTTTTAAGACATTACGACATGACTCAATGTCTAAGTTGGGCTTCATGCATAAGACTTGGCCTTCTGTGCATCAATTTAAATACAAAGTTTTTCTCAGTTTCAACGGCATTCCATCACTAAATATTAGCACTGTTCAACCAACCATTTCATTATACTTAGCCCTTATTTTATAAAAACTAAATAAAAAGCAACTTAATAATGACAGAGCCAGGACTTATGATAAAGTCTGAGAAGGTTCTTTGGAATAATGGAGACAAAGCCAGGCATGGCTGCACAAAGGGCCGTGAATCTATAGTTTTGATGAGATGTTCGTTGGGTATGAACTGAACATACTGATTGGCTCAAATTAACAGATATAACTAGAAATACACCCTCAAAGATGGCTACACAGGCATAAAAAGATTTTTATATAAAAAATAAAAAAGGGAATTTAAAAATCCACTTTAGTTCTTAAGAAACATAAACTACTTTTTTTTTTTTTTATTGGTACCAGAGATTGAACTCATGACTGCCTGCTTGCAAGGCAGGTGCTTATGCCACTGAGCTAAATCCCCAGCCCCAAGAAAGTTTACAGCTTCTGTACCCCGAATTAGCAACTATAATTTTTTTTTTTTGTCTTTTTTGTTTTTATCGGTACCAGGGATCAAACTCACGACTGCCTGCTTGCAAGGCAGGCGCTTATGCCGCTGAGCTAAATCCCCAGCCCCAGCAACTACAATTTAAGGAATAGGGTACAGGCAACTACAGGAGCTAATGTATAGAATCATTTAATGATTTATTTTGCAATAATGCCAAATTGTTTAGTAATAAGACCACTGAAATTACATCTTATTAATATTGTATGTCATGGCTGAAGTCTTTGGTTTTTGTTGACTGTTATTAAAGTCTAACATATGACAGAATTTGTTTTCCACATCGCAGAGCTGCTAGCTTTGTCTAACCATCATCTGAGTTGATGTTCACCAAACACAGACAGGGAAACTAACCAGGACACAGGAATCAGCATTCACACCTGGCAGGTCCTGTGGAACTGCAGGTCACTACCTGAACCCTGAGCTTTGGACTCCTCATTTGTAAAATGCTGAGGTGGGGACAGGTTTCGTATAAATATGTTTCAGTCTGTAACACCTGTATTTCTAATATTTGACCCCCACCTACTCGCATCCTCTCTGATCAAGTCTAATGAGAAGTCTGCTGCCCAGTAAAAGCCCCCAAAATGCAAAGCCCAGAAAAGCCCCGACTGTCCTGCCCTGTCCCTGTACCTCGTCCTGGGGACTGCTCTTCTTCAACAAGGAATCTGGCCCTCTGTCTCCAGTGCCAGCCCGTTTTCGTTTCACTTTCTTCTGTTTAGCATTCTTACGACCAGGTTTAAGATTTGTATTTTTCGATTTAGCAGCTAAAAATATTAAAGTTATTTTTTAAATGACACAAAAGCATTATCAGTTTCTCCTTAAAAAGTACACCTTATTAATTCATAAATAATTCTGCACTGCTTAGTGAGGAAAAACTAATAACTGATCTGTTTTTCTACAAGCCTTTAAGAGACCAAAGGGAACGATAACACATTCTGAATTACCAATTCATTCTTTGTGAACATATATAAGGGATTATTGGGGTAGGAGAAGAAGAGAAAGAAATCAATTTTGAAAGCTACAAGCTAGATTCTTTTTTAAGTATTTGGGCTACAATGGATCTAATTAGGAATTGCCACAGTTTTACAAAAGAAAAACCTTGTGTTTAAAATGACTTCATATATTATACTCAAATCTTTCATTTAAAATATTTGGTATAGATTAAGTTTACCTACAGACATATTTGGAATAGAAGAAATACTGGAGAGGGAAAAAAAAAGTATAAAGAAAGCATTAAGAATTTAATTTGCAGGCTGGGGGTTAGCTCAGACCAGGTGTAAGCTCCTATCTTGTAAGCGCACGGTCATGAATTCGACCCCTGGTACCAAAAAAAAAAAAAACTTTTGGTTTGCTGCTGGGCATGGTGACGCACACCTGAAATCCCAACAACTCAAGAGGCTGAGGCAGCAGGATGCCAAGTTCAAAGCCAGCTTGGCCGACTTAGTGAAACTCTGTCTCCTAACTTCATACAACCACTCCAGGGAACTCTTTACTGACTGCAGTACAGACGCGGCCTGCACCTCACGCATGGAGAGGCCGTGGACTTAGGATTCTCTCTCAGATGGAGTCATGGCCCTGATGACCCAGCTACACCCCTAGTTCCTCCTACACCGAGGACTCAGTGGGGACCTGGCCCGTGCAAGCTTACGTCTGGTATAAAGATCTTAGAAATCATGCTCTTATCAGAAGACAAAGTGAACGCTGTGACGGCCTCTCCACGCACACTGTCAAAGGTAAAACACTGGTACTTACACAGCTTAGTATCTCTTACTTCCTCTTTCTTCACAGATTCTTTAGAGGACGGTAGGGGCTGAGCAGCATTTGCCATTTCTTTAGCTCGTATGTACTTCTGCAGCTCTTTCTCAAAATTATCTTGTGGTTCCTGACCGCAGGTATCATTATCACTATATGATTCATAGTCTTTACTTCTTGATTTTCTATATGGCAAACTCTTCGGTGATGCTGTAGACTTTCCAAAGTGCCTAACCTAAGTAAAAATTAAATTCTGACTTAAAAAACAGATTCAAAGTGGGCTAGTTTTCAGAAGAAACAAGACTGGCTACAAAATGACCACTGCTGACAGTGGGTGATGGGCACATGAGTTCATGCACCATTCTCTCCATTCTTAAACAGCTGAAGTTTTCCAGAATTGAAACCAAACAAACCAGAATGACAGACTCGTGAGTAAGGCTAATTTGAGAAAAGATCTTGAATTTGTAAACTGTACGCACTTTGCTGAATTAGAAATCTACAACGCCAAATCTTACTTGACAAAGGGGATTACAGGACCCAGTTTTCACATTGTATTTCTTTATTTGTACTGATGATACTCTTAAATATTTTGATTAAGTATTTCATCATTTCATAAAACACCAAGTAAATTTGATTAGCCCAACTGGAAAGTGACTTATACTTTGATATCACTGCTATCAAAGCCAACTTCTCCTGGTACTTACAACAGTTCTATCAGTAATGATGACAAAAAGAAAAAAAAAAAACCCTATAATCTAGTTGACTTTACATTTATTTATTTGTTAGTGCTGGGAATCAGATAAGCGCCCTACTACTGAGCTGTCCTAGACAAGCCTTCTACCATTCAGGATGTACCAGTGCCCAAGAATTTAGCGTAAACACAGAGATGAAGTTCTGTTCACTTATATAATTCAAAATATTACACTAGGCAAGCGCTAAGTCATGAGTTCAATCCTCAATACAAAAAAAAAAAAATTACAGTAATCCAGGATAAGTGCTCCCACCTGCACAAAATATACAGGTTCTATAATGAAGCAGATTCCTTTTACCTCAGGTAATAACATGTCTGATTCATACTGAATGAAGATACAAGAAGACACAGCAACATTAATAAAACCAGAACAATTATCAACTACATTGATTTATTATGTAGTAAAGAAGAATAGCTTCAGAGAGCACTGAAACACACAAAATACAAAGGACTAAGTATTTTTTATTTAGCTAACTGTAAACTCACTTCAGTTTGCTCCTCTTTGTACAGCACAACTTAGAAAATGTATTACAATTCCTTTCTGTTTTGTAAAAAAGTTTAATAAATAGTGCCAATTTCTTTCAAATAAAAGATTTTCTTTACATACTGTTAAATAAAGAGCATGGGTACATGAGCACATGCCTGTGTGCGCATGTGTATACAGGACCTGAGATATTTCCATCAATACTTGAGAGCTGAACAAATTTTTCACTAAAAGAAACTTAAGTTCCAGAGGTTGGACTTAGGAGAATGTGAGGAATACAGTTATACAGGAGGATGAAATAATACTACACAAAAAAACAGATAAAACTATTACAACAAATTCTCTCTGTCCCCACACCATAACAAAATCAACCAGGAATTTCCTCCAGGGCCAAAAAAAAAAAAAAAAAGAAAGAAATTGCATTTAATGTCTGGTAAAAGCTAAGCCTTGTCCCTTGTAGTAAAAAATGGATTATTTTAGCATCAAATAAGATGGTATAGTATTATAGTTATTATATAATAATACTGTTCAACACAATATGCTGATACTATAATATTCATCAAAATATTTCCAACATACACAAAACAGAAAAATTAGAAAGCTTAAAATATATTATCACAGATTTCTTCACAGAAATTAAAAATGGACACAAGGCTATACTCAAAGTAAATTTGAGTGGTTCATTTGTTAGCTCATCAAAGAAAGCTGAATGAGTTAATTAAATAGTATTTAATTGTAGCAGTGAAAGAAATGATTCAGACAAACGAAGTTGTTTAAGACACCTGGTCAAGACATAAAGAACTTGGGAAAAACTTCAACAGACCTCTTCTTTTTGAAGTGGTTCTGGGATTGAATCTAGGGCCTCGTGCATACTAGGCAAGTGCCCTATGACTGTGCTATGTCCTAGGCCCTTTTTAAATTTTGAGTCAGGATCTTGCTAAGTTGCCCAGGCCTTGAACTTACAATTCTCTTCCTTAGTCTCTCTAATTGCTGGGATTACAGGCATGTACCCATCATGGTAGGAAACAGGTAAATTTTTTTAAAAGATGAAAATTTCAGCGGTTTTCCTTGGTTCCTGATGAGTTGATGCTGCTCGGTTTTGCTGTGTTGTTCAAAGTTAAAACAGGAGCCAGATCTGCATTCCTATAGGAATCTACAGCCGATGTATTGCTCACACTCAAACTGTGGTCCTAACAATGTTTTGCAGATGTATATCCAAGTACAAAGGAAACTGCCATTTCAAAACCCACTTAAACTGTGCTACTGAAGAGCTTCTACTATGACAAATTAAGAGAAGACTCTAACAAAGGTCCATAAAGTTCTGCCAGGCAATGAGTATGCTCAGTTAAAATCGTATGCTGATGAACTCACATCAGCATTTGCAGTGCCTATCTGTAGTGAAAGACACTTTTAGGGTTGAAATAAAACTTCATTATATATCAGTATTATCAGATAAACCTTAATAATCAATTTTCATGACCTAGAACAGTAACTCTGAACCCCAATAAAATATCCCACAAAAAAGAACCTTATTTTCTTATTAGCAGACCTGAATTACAAAAAGTTTTAACTATTTATTTTCTTTTTCTTTTTTTAAAATAGCGTTGCACTATATTATATTCCCAGCCCTTTTAATATTTTATTCTGAGTCTCATGAAGACACCAAGTTGAACAGGTTGAGCTTGAACTTGAAAACTCCTATCTCAGCCTCCCAAGTGCTGACATTACAGGCATGCATTACTGTGCCTGGTTAATACTGTGGCCAGGGGTATAGCTCAGTGGCATGCCTGGCAAGCGCAAAGTCCTGAGTTCCATTCCTTGTACAAAAAAAAAAAAAAAAAAAAAACCCTTACATTTCATCAATGTAACATATTAAAGCTTACCTCTTTCATTAAGTACGCACATAATATCCTCAATTTTGCTTCATGGATTTAAAACCTGAAGTGTTTGATATCTTATTCTACAGAAATAGCTTGCTGATTTGAGACTAAAACAAAAAGTAGAAAATATGGGAAAATTTTTTCCAGAAACAGCACATATGATTCAAACAAAGTTTAAAACAAGTACACAGATACTCAAGATATTACATTAAAAAAAACAGTGGAAGTTATGATGACAGTCTCAAAACACCAAGAATAAAATGAAGAACAGAAAGGCTTTCAGAAGGAACAGAACGGTCGGAAAGAAATGACTCAAATTCAGGGGCTGGGGATTTAGCTCAGCTGCATAAGCACCTGCCTTGCAAGCAGGCAGTCATGAGTTCGATCCCTGGTACCGATAAAAAGGAAAAAGACAAAAAAAAAAAAAAATTGGTAAGTCTTTGGCTTTGCAGTGGTGACTGGCAAGAGCCCACGGGACGATAATCTTACACTGAACTCTATTTCAGCCAAACTGGCTATCCAAAATGAGTAAGGATGCAGGATTTTCAGAAATGCTTTAGGAAACACCCAAAATGTATCTTTTTCTTTCCCCTGTAGTAGAGACTGAACCTGAATCTTGTACTGAGGTATACCCCCAGGTATCACCCCTCCTTTTTTGGAGACAAGAGTTTTGCTAAATTGCTAATTTGTACAGGCTGGAATTGAACTTGTGATCTTCCTGCTTCAGCTTTCCAAAGTGCTGGGATTATAGCTGTAGGCCACCAAACCCACCATCCTCCATACATTCTGATATATGGATATTTACCATCAAACAAAAACACAACAGTTACAAAGTAATATTTTAAGAAAATATCTAGGAAGCTGGGCATGGTGGGGTGTACCTGTAATCCCACCACTTAGGAGGCTGAAGCAGGAGGATCACCATGAGTCTGACACCAGCCCAGACTACACAGTGAGTTTAAGGCCAGCTTGAACTACACAGCAAGACCCTGCCTCAAAAATATGATGTAGGGCTAGCAGCACAGCTCAGCAGTAGAGCACTTGCCTAGCACACAAGATGCTCTAAATTGATCCCAGTCACTGGAAGGAAAAGAAAAGGGGAAAAAAGGTAAATTAACAATAGTTTTATTATACATCATCTAGCAATGTAAGACATTTATAAAAAATAACACTGTTGAGAGATACTTAAGAAGATATAAAAAGATTTTAATCCTAACAGTTTACAGATTTAATACACTCAATAAAAATCCCAACAGAATTTTCTGTGAAACTTGACAAACTGACTCTAAAATGCAAAGACTAAGAGCAGCCAGGACACTGAAAAAGGAGAAAAATCAAGGCGAGACAACCCGCTTACCTAACCTCAAGTTCATTGGACAGCGGCAGTGATTACCTCGTGAGGTCTTGGGGAGGGACAGACAAAGCACTGAACAGAGTTCAGGGACAGAACTGAACATGAACACTCAACTGTGACAGAGGTGACACTGCGGACCCTGCAGGGGGAGAAGACAGCTCTTTATCCCCAAATGATGGTGTTGGAATAATCAAGTACAACAATAAAAGCTAAAAAATAAAAGGAAATTAGGCTTCTCTGCTTCATAGTGATTATGAACTTCAAAGTGAGAGGTAGAAAACAATATAGGAAAATATTTTCCTTACCTTGGACTGTTTTCATAAAACATAGAAAAGTACTAAGTATAAAAGATTTAAAACTACAATAAAACTATGAACTTTTCAATTTTAAAAAATGCCACAGGGTGGAAAGCAAGTTACAGAAGGAGCACAGATGTATGACACATAATCCACAAGAATGAAAATAAAAACAACTCATATCCAGACTGAAGAACTATCTATCAAAAAAAAAAAAAATCACAAGTAATCTAACGGGGCTGAGGGAAGAAAGAAGACTTGAGAAAGCGTGAAAAAGGAAATGTGAGTAGGCAAACTGATCAAAAGATGCTCCTTATCAACAATGACCTCAACAATGCAAGGTAAACAAGAATAAGATACCAATGCACCCTCATCAGAGGCCCAAAATAAGGCCGACAATAACAAGTAGGATCAGTCTGTGGAGCAATAGCAAGAGCTCCTGGGAATAAAATCTGGTGAGCCACTTCAGAACCGAGTCAGGAGTTATGTGCTTTCCTTCCCGAGTAAAATGAGATACCCACTGTGACCAGAAATCATGATTGTCAACTTGGTTTACAGAGTAGTAAAGCATGGCTCTGGGTGTGTCTGTGGGGTGTTTGCTTGGCATGCAATCCAGTAAACTGAGGGGGAAAGACCTGATGGTGGCTGCCACCATCCCACAGGTTTGTAGCCTGGGTGGAATGAAAGAGGAAGAAGTCGCATTTGAAAATCTCCATCCTGTTTGAGCAGGTGCATCTTTTGTTACTGTGGATATCAGACTCGGGTTTCTTCAGCCTTTTACTGTGAACTCACACAGTGACTCTCACAGAGCTTCCAGGCCCTATTTTCTGTATCGGTTAGCTTTTCGTTACTGTGACCACAACAGCTGACACACATAATTTAAAGGAGAAGATAGCTACTTGGCTCATGATTTCAGAGGGCTCAGTTCATGGCTAGCTGGCTTTAAGGCAGAAATACCATGATGGAAGGGCTTGGTGGGTAGGAATACTGCTCACTTCATAGTGTTAGGAAACCAGAGGAGATTAGAAAGACTGCCAGAAAGAAAGGGACCAGGGCCAGATCCAAAGCCACACCTCCATGACCTACCAAGATACACCCTAAAGTATGCTTTACTAGGCCCCTAGCCAGCTCCCAAGCCAATCAAGTTAACAATGAAGCTTAACTGTCCCATATGTGCAGCAGGATACAAGTACAGGAAAGAATGCACCATCATTGCCCATGACCACCAAATTAGAGCCAGGCCAGTATCCTCTTACTGCGTAACTTCATATATTCAAGTAATGGAATACTACTCTGCTGATACAAAAAAGGATAAACAAGTACATGAAGTATGATTGAGAAACACAGTAAATGCTTCATTTTTAAAAAGCACAATTAAACACATATTGCAATTTCCCCCTCAAAATATTCTGTATCAAAAAAATACTCTATCACTTCAACACTTATTCCAACATTCTATCCACTTTCTGAAGCAGTTCTATAAGTCTTCTTTCATGTGTGTCTTTAGTTTTACTGTCATGCCTGCCCCAATGTTCTGAGTCAATTCAAGTACTCTGCTACTGAGCTACACCCCCAGACCGTAAACCAATTTAAATTATTTAGTTTTTATGGTCGTATGGAGTTTGAAAGAGCTACAAATTGCACAAATGTGAAATTTGTTAAAGTGGATGAGGACTATATTTGTTAGAGCTCTGTAAAGAAACAAAATCAACAGAAAACATGTGTAAAATTATGCAAGAGGATTTATTAAGTGGGCTTACATAATTAGAAGCAGGGGAGTCCACAACGGCCATCCCCAAGATCAGAGAGAGACAAGTCCACAATGGTATCTATGGGCTCAGAGGCAAAAGAACCACTGGTGAGCGTCCATACACTGGAGAGCCAGAGGATACAGCAGCTGCTCAGTATAAGCTGGAAGCTGGAAAACAAAGCAGACCAGGGGTGCAGCACCAAGGAGAGTTCAAAGGCCTGGAAGCTCGCTGCAGGGTCACTGCTGCGAGTATACACTAGAAGGCTGAAGCAACTGGAGACAATGTCCAAAGGTGGTAATGAAGAGCAGAGCTTTCAGAAAGAGGCATACTTCCTCCTTCCCTTTTTTATTCCATCCAGACTGCAAGACTATTGGTTAGTGTCATCCTCATCTCAGGAGGGCTCTCATCCCTCGTTTATTGGCCTACACATCAGTTAACCAGAGACACCCAGAACTGGGTTAGGGGTTTCTTAATCCATTCAAGTTGAAATAACATTAAGGGTCACAAGGACCCACCATGTTTTTGTGAACCTTGCCAGCAGACAGCATTTGGCAGCAACATTCTCTGTATTTTTAATTACATCTTACAAAAACACTCACAAATAAAGACTTGCAGAACTGCTTCAGAAAGTGGTAAAAATGATTCGATCATGATGTTCTAAGTCAGAGGGTGTATTGTGAAGGTCACTAATATAGCAATACAGCTTTTACTGTAATACATTCTTAAGATGTAGACCTTCATAGTATATTTTGATCATACCATGTATCACACAATATTTATGGTTAAGAAAATAATGTTGAGCAAAGGCAGCAAGACAGAAAAGAACAAAATACCATTCTATACATAACACAAAAACAAGCAAGAAAAATTGTACTCTCTTGGCATGACTACATATGTAGTGAAATTTAAAGACAAGGAAGTGATTCATATACAAGTTAGGGTTGTGGGTACATCTAGAAGGGAAAAAGGGCTATGACTGAGAAGGAAGCAATATTCTGGTGGAGATTTTTGTTTTTTGTTTTGTACCGGGGATCAAACTCATGACCTCATGCTTGCCAGGCAGGCACTTGTGCTGTTGAACTAAACCCCCAGCCAATTCTTTCTTTTTTTGAGGGGAGGGGAGACTGGGGATCAAACTTATAACCTTGCACCTGTCAGGCAGGCACTTGTGTCACTGAGCTAAACCCTTAACCCTTAATTCTTTCTTGACTTTCAGAGTATTTTTCTCTTCTGGTACTGGGAATTGAACTCAGGATCTCGTGCTTGCTAAGCATGTCCTGTACCACTGAGCTATATCCCTGGCTCTGGGTGCTGTCTTTTAAATTAGCCAGGATACTGCACATTTGTATTTTCTAGTCTTGTGAGTAAAGACTGTGGGCTGAAGCAAGCCCTCCTGAGGAGGAGTAACTAGGTGTGCATCTTCTAACAGAACTGTTTCTTAATATAACCTTAGAATGCTCCATTGGCTGGTCTACCACAGGTGGTGATACACAGAATAGGAAAGCTGTAAGAGTGGAAAGCACTGGGTCTTGTGTGAATAAAAAATTGTGTATAAAGTAGTAAAACATCAGTAAAGTAAAAAATTTCTGAGGAAAGTTGAAGTTGCTATTTTTCAGGATCAGCCTCGGCTCTTGCTCATGGTAGCTATATGTGTTTTAAAGGGCAAACCAAGTTTTCTTTGATAGCCGAGAAGCTTCCCGAGGAGATGATGCTGCTGTGCTTTCAGTTACCTTCTATCTTCTAGCCATCTATAAGGTTAAGGGAAAGTACTATCGAAGCCTGCAGGTGCCTTTGAGTCTCACCGCTAATCCAAGCCTATTCTTGTGCAGTGGACTAAACTTGGCAATTTAAAAAAAATTTCAAAAGAAAGAAGCCAGAGTAGTAGGTATTGGCTCTGTAATGGGCTGAGTCCTCCTAAGAGTCTTAGCCCTCAGAGTGGGACCATGAGGTCATTAGGGGAGGCCCTAATCCAACACGACTGGTGGCCTTATAGAAACAGGGTAGATACAGATACCTGGAGAGAACCCAAGTAAAGCAGAGATCAGACTGATGCTTTTAAGAGCTAAGGAATACTAAACACTGCCAGTGACCCACTGGGATCCAGGGCTGGAAGAGATTGCTTCTCACAGACCTCAGAAGGAAACAACCCTGCCCATATATTGTTCTCAGACTCTCAGCCTCTACAATTACGGATTTCCATTCAAGCCACAGAGTTCACGGTACTTTGTTACCGGAAGCCCTGCAAATTAAGCTATAAATTACTAAGGTTGGTTTAGTTAGCAAATAAGACTGCTTAAAATATTTAATATAATTTGAAAGGAAAGTTTTGGAACAGTTTATAATCCATTTCAGAAACAGGACACATCAAACATATTAGACATTATCCACCTGATATGGGGAAAAATTAGGGAAAACCAAAATAAATCATTTAAAACAGCTCACATTACATTCAGCAAAGTTACTAAATAACATTTTAAAGAAGTATAGCCAAATTTCCTTGATGTAAGTTAACTATATTCCAAATGCTGACTGTGATGAGACCACCAGGACCCCTCATGAATTTCTTACATTCATTCCTAGCTCTGTTTGCAATAATTCAACTTAACCTTACTTTTTTGGAAATCTGTTCACACTCCAGTTTAACTTCCCATTTTATTTTTTCTTCTTGAGCCTCTTCAACTTCTGTATCATCTATTTCATCATCGATTCTGCAGCAAAAATATCAAATAACACAGAAGGGTTTTTTCAGCCTACAAGTGGTTCACATCAAATTAAATTCACTGCTTTGGTTTGTCTTAATATTTGCCCTCAAAGAAATTAAAACTTCAAAATCTAAACTCTCCAGATATATAATGTACACAATTATGAGTAAATGTGTTTGTGAATAATCTGTAAAATTAAGATTTTTAGATTATATGAGCCATACATGTTCTTAATGATCAAGAATTAGCTGCTATATAAATTGTTCGTTCATCCATTGTTTCAACAAATATACAAATATATTCTTTTAACAAACACAAATATACAAATATATTCACCATACAGCAGGTTCTAAGCTTTATATCCTGGGATATAACAGTGAAAAAGACAAACCTATTCCTGCTTCCTGAGCGCTAACTGCCTGGGGAAAAAAAATATAAAGCATTTCAACCTCATAAAGCAGAGATGCATATATGAAGAACACTGTAAACCTAGAATTGAGTGCCAGGGGCTTTCTGGATCTAAAAGACCATCAGTGAGCAAAGAGAAATGTAAGAGAGAAGAGTTATTTTAGGCAGAGTGCAGGGTGCCTTCTGGGGTTAGAAGAGAGAAATACATTCCAGTACAAAGGTGGAAAAACCTGTTTTCAGACTCCCAGGAATGAGATTACCTCCCACAGAAATCATATAATTACCTGAGAATATGCTAGCAATACCAAAAATGAACCTAAAATAAAGCAATGGAAAAATAAGATAACAGTGAACAAGTGAGTGTTCTGAAACCACACACTATCAACTTGACACTGCCCACTCCAAATCTGGGTTCACTTTTACCACTTCATTAAGGTCCACAAGTCTCAGCCCTCATATAAACAGACTGATATGCAGACTAGCACAGAGCTGACTACCTTCTCTGTAAAGCAATTCTGGAGGGACTTAACCCACTGAGCTACATTCCCTACCCCTTTTTTAAACAGGCACTCACTAAGCTGTTGAATTGGCCAGGCTCTGTTTGAATTTGCAGTCCTGCCTCAGCCTCCCAAGGTTTGTGAATAACCTTTAAATTACAGACTTGTAGGTGTATCTCACTAACTAACCACTAAACAAACACTTTTAGGTCAGCTTCAGGCATCCTGAGCTCTGTTGGAGCTCTTCTTCCCTCATGGCTGCTAATTCTTAGTCTCCTCTGTTGGTTCCTCTTCTTTACAACTCTGAAAAGCCTCAAACTCTTCTCTGTTTGTACTCTTGTTACTGGTGATCTCCTGTCCCATGGCTTCTGACCCTATTTACATGTAATTAATTTCAACATTCAAGTCTCCAACCCAGAAACCTCTCCTTAAAACACAGCCAACTTCTCACTCAACACATCCTCCTGGATTTCAACCAGACATAATTTTAATGTATTCAACACTGAATATGATGGCTCTGAAATCCAACCTGCCTGCTATCTTAAACAGCAACCCATTCTTCCAACTTGAGTCCTGTCACACAACCTCCATGCAAACCTGAGGAAATCCAGTTAATTCTAACTTCAAAATGCCCACATGCAACTGCTTCTCACCACTAAATGATACAAGCTGCTCCTGCTCCCACAGGCCCTGTGACTCTGCTAACACATCAGATAGTGTCACTGCCCTCGAAAAGCCCTCAGGCACACTCATCTCAATCGGATAAATGCTAAAGTCCTCTGGCACCTTTAAGTCCCTATCCCAGCTGCCTCCCAAATCCTCTCCAGCACTACCCAGACCTCTGGACCTAAGTTACCCCCACCCAGTCCCACCACACTCTCCCCACCTCCTTATCCCCACACAGAACACTCCTCCCCACACCAATATCCTGCACCTCTGTCCAGTTCTGAGGCTTTTCCTCAACTGTCTTCTTTAAAAATCAACACTCAACACGTTCCCTACCATCCCACTAATTCTTTTCTTTCCTTTTTTATTTATTTATTTTTTAATGTCTTCTTGAGATACAGTCTCACTATGCAGTTCAGGCTGGCCTTGAACTCTGATCCTCCTGGATCAGCCTCCCCGAGTGCTGGGATTACAGGTATGTATGACCATGCCCAGCTCAAGTACTTCTTAACCTCCTACTCTTTCACCTTCTCCATGGTGTTTATTATTATCTGAAACCACTATGTACTTCTTCTATATTGTCTGTCTCTTCCTCTCTCCTAGAATACACATTTTTGAATAGAAGCATTTTTATGTTTTGTCCATTTATTACTATAATGCTTGGGCCTACAGTGCCCCTATGTAGCACGTGCTCGACAAAACTGAAAAAAAAAAAGTTAAATGAGTATTTTCAACACAAACTAGTAAAAGAAAAAACCCAAAACCATAAAAGATCAATACTCTGAGCGCATAAAGCAAAAAAAAAAAAAAAAAAAAAAAAAATCCTACTTTTAATGCACCAAAAAATAATGCTGGGGCAAAGACAAAAGGCAAAATATAAGTACAATATTTGCAGAGATCATTAAATTTGAATAAGACCAACAGCCAAAAAGAAAAACAGACAAACAGGATGAAAAAACAGACAGTTCATCCTGGTCCAGATCATTCTTCAACAGCTGTGCCCAGACTGGAGCCTGAACCCAGCCAGGGCCTTCACACTGAGCTACACTCTCCTCCTTTTTTTATTTATTGAGACAGAGGCTCATCAGGTGGCTAACCTACTCAGGCTGGGTTTGTATGTGCAACCCTAGCCTTCCATGGAGCCAGGATTACAAGTATACACCCATTTAGGTGGCTTTTCCACCACTTTCAATCATGTTTCCGTGAATGAATTGTTCACCCAATATTTTCTAGTAGCTTTAAAAAAAACTTTTTTGCCAGGCATAGTGGCACTCACTGTAATCCCAGCAATGGAGGCTGAGGCAGGGAGATCACTATTCAAGGCCAGCCTGCACTACAAAGTAAGAGTACACCGTTTAGTAAATCTTTTCTACTTTATTTTGTGGTCATTCACTTTGTTGAGTTGATCCAGCTTCTCTTTTCTTCCCTAGTTTTGTTTTAGAAGGTAGGTAATCAAATCACAGGGCCTGAAATTACACTGAGCAATTCAATCTTAGCTTTGCCGTTTACACTGTACACTGTAGGTTACATAATCATTGCCTCAATTTCCTCGTCTGTGAAAAGGAGGATAACATTATTTTCTCATTAAGATTGTTGTGAGGATTATGGAATGTAATTCACATAAAGGGCATAGTAAAGGTCTTAAGGGGAGCCTGAATTAAGGTAATAATTTCAATTAAGATGTCAGAGATTGGGCCAGGGATATAGCTCAGTGGCACAATTGCCCGCCTGGCAAGTATGAGATTAAGTTCGATCCCTGGTACCAAAAAAAAAAAAAGTCAGAGATAAAAAACGAACAGACAAGAGTACCCATAAAGAGGTAAACCGAATAGGAGTTAAATTTGGGATGAGGGAAATAAATGAAATGATGCATGACTGGGTTTCAGTCTAGGGAAACAGAAAAAAAAGATTCCAGAGATGATTTTTAACACTTCGAGCTCAAAGAATTAAAAGTGAATGGACATTCTATGTAAACTACATGCATCTTCAAAAACGAGATTAATAAATCGGAACCACGGGGCCAGCAATCCTAACTTGACTTCTCAATATCAACGTTAAACCCGAATGGTGTTTGCTGCGGGGGGTTGTTTTTCAGACAGGTCTCGCCATGTAATAATTCAGGGTGGCCCCAAACTCATCGTGATGCCCTTGCCTTAGCCTCCCTGATCGCTTAGATTACAGGCGTGCACAGCAGCACGCCCTGATATTTGCTGCTTCGGTTCCAAAAATTTGTGCTTTTGGTCTTCGATACGTAAGAGCCTCGCACGTGTCTGGGAGAACCGCGAGCGGTCTCTGCCCGCGGGATGGGGCAGCGAATCTCGGCGAACGCGGGGCAATACGCCCACCGAGCCCGGCTCACCGCTGGCACAGGTGCCCAGGAAGGAAGCTCCTGGCCCCCACCCGGACTGCACTGGCCTCGTCTCCCCGCGCCCCTGTGACCACGCCACGTGCGATTCCGCCCCGCGCAGCCCGGACGCGGCCTCCGAGGGCACGAAGGGGCGGGGCCGCCGGCCACCTAGACTTAATTAAAAGGATGAGGGATGATCACCTTTCGTCAGAGTCCGGGGCCGATCTTTTGCCGAGGGCCGGGTTGGGAGGTTTTGAAAAAAGATTTTCAAAATCCATGACCACACGAGTAACCGCCCTGTCGCCAGCCGGGCAGCTACATACTGAGAAGCGGCGACACCAACAGAATCCCGTGTAGTACGCACGGTCACACGCTCCGCCCCGCGCACGCGCTGCCCGTCCTGCGTTTGCGCCGCCCCGCCCCGCCCCGTGACTCCGCCCACGTCCGCTCCTCCCCGCCCTCCGCCGGGCCGCGCAGGCGCAGTCCTCGTTGCGTGGCTCTCCTTGTACATATTCATCTACATTATGGTAGCAATCTAGTAGAATATTTCTTTAATCTAGTAGAATTTTTAAACCTACTCCTTAGGATTCTTCTCTTCCTGGTGAAAACTCTTCTATCGCGATCGGGAGATTTCTAAGGAATGGTGGCAACTTCTCACCATGGTGAGAATGGTGAAAATGGTGGTGGCTGATTTGAGCACGCCACCACCTTTATTTTAGAAACGTTTCAAATTTTAGCTGATTTAATCCTGGCAACCACACTGGAAAATGGGGACTTTTTTTTTTTTTAATCGGTACCAGGAATCGAACTCACGACTGCCTCCTCGCAAGGCAGGCACTTACGCCGCTGAGCTAAATCCCCAGCCCCTAGATGGGTACTATTACCATTAGCGTTTTTCAGATGAATAAACAGAGGAGTAGACAGGTAATGTTACTTGTAGGGTCTGTGCAATCAGAAAAGAGATGCGTAAATAACTGAGGCAGGAAAGAAAATTCATTTAATTAAGAAGACTAAGTACGAAGAGGATAAAGGTGGGGAGGAGCACATTGGTTGAGAAAACTTTTTGAGGGGTGAATTTGAGTTCAGTCTTGGCATAATTTCCACAGCAAGGGATAAAATTGGAAGTAAATGGACATCAGTTATAAGAAGGCAGCAAAGGAGGGCATGTTTGGAAAATACTTGTTCACTTTTGGTTAGTATAAGGACAAATAAGGGAATAATACAAACTGCTGATTAGGCCGATGACAGAGAATCTATCTTAACAGACTGACTTCTGACATGAATCAAGGTCCACTCCACCGACGAGTGAAGGGAATGTTTGAAGTCAGATATCTCTCTCAGGAAAATACTACTTTCCATGTTTGTGATGCAGGCAATCACATTCTTTTGTATTTGAACAGTTACTAAAATATAAAAGAAAAATTAATGTGATAAAAACCAATAGTATCCCCTCTTCAGAGGGAAGAACTATATTATACAACTCGAATTATTACTTTACATAGTTTTTCTTATTTAAAAAAAAAAAGTACACAGCAAAGAAAACTAGACATAAAAGGAAACTAGATTCTCTACCTATTATCTCAAGTGGTCCCTTAGGGAAAAATTTTACTTTCTATCCTCACGACATTGAACTTGGCTGACACAGCTAAGTTTATTCAACCTCAGCAGTAGTGTCACTTGGGTTCTGCTATTTGTTCCGAGAGTCTTGTCCTTCAAGGGATGTTAGAATGTGTAGCAGCATCTCTGGCCTCTATCACTAGATGGCAGTAGCACCTGCTCGCCAGGCTTCACTCGTTGCTGAATAACCTCTGGGGGTGGGGGTGGGGGGGGATTATCAATTCCAAAATTAGAAATGCTTCCATCAAGAGACATGACAATCTCTCTATTCAAACTATCTTTCTGCCCCGTAGGGCTCCTCAATCCAATGAATCAACAGGTAAAGAAAGGATTTACTATCTTAGCAGGGGTGATCATGTTAACGGGACTACATAATGAAGTTAAGGAAGAGTAGGTCTAGAAACGAGGCAATTTCTTGGGGAAGGCAGAGCTAAGTAATCCTGAGTTAAAGTCAATAGAAAACATTCCCAGCACAGGCAGCACTGGCCTGGGCCTAAATGGGTTACCTACCACATCAGGAACCAAGACCAAATGAAAGCAGAGGGAACATGGCAAAGTAGAAGGTAATTATACAAATACCAACTATCATCACATGACCCAGTAGCAAAAATGATTATGATAGAAATATTTCATGATTAATGTGGTAGAAATCTGCATACATATGCATATGTGAAAGTAGAATCGTGTTGCATAACAATGTTTTGGTTGGGGATGAACTACATAATTGACAGCTGATCCATAAAATTGGGGAGTTTTTTGGGGTTTTGGTACTGGGGATCAAACTCATGGCTTGTTCTTGCCAGGCAGGCACTTACACTGCTGAGCTAAATCGATGGCCCTCCATAAGATTGTTAAAGAAGCTGAAAAATCCCTATCACCTAATGACATTAGTACTGTTCTAACATCATAGCACAAGGCATTATTTGCATTCATGGTGATACTGGTATAAAGAAAGCTACTATGCTTCCAGTTTCATAAAAATATAGCATATATAATTATGTACCATATGAAATTTTTTGGTAAATGATAACATGAATAACTAGTAGGTTTCTGTATTAACTATACTATACTGTTTATATTCTTACTTAGGTAAAAAAAAAATGTGCTTGAAATCAGTATGCCATGTTATACCAGCAGGAGCCTCATATATCTCGTTATTCTCTTTGTAAATTTCTGAAATTTACACTGTGATCTTCACCCAGAAGCAAAACTGACTAAAACCACATTTCTGATAACATAGTCCTGTCACTAGTGATGCATGATTGCATTCACCTGTCCATCCATTTAAGTTTTCCCTTCTCTCATTTCTCTGCCATCTATACAGATGATTTTATGGTAGCTAGTTTTTTAACTTATTATTTAAGTTATAAATTATGAAAGGTGACATGAGCCTAACCTAAAAGAACAAGGAGAAAAATAAACATCACCCCAAAGTAGAAAAGAGATCTTTTATTCTTTTTAGGAGAAAAGACTCATATACCTTTTTAAATTGGTACGGTTTCATCAGGGCGGGTAGAGCTATGATTTTGTTATCATCTTGATCTGGAAGCTCAGTATAGATTCAAGAGAAGCCCATAGATGCCTCATTGAAAGTATATACTTGATAATTTTGAAATTGGTCATCTTGGCTAGACTTACACTATATCTTCCAGTATTCCTCCCTGTATGTTTAGGGAGGGCTGTACAAAAAGGTTTTGCACAAAATTGGGAAGGTAGTCACAAAATGACAGCTGTATACTTTTATTTACATTGAGTTAGTTGGTGAGAGGCAACATCTGTTGTGGAGTCACCTCATAACTCACTTTCAACCTCCTCCCAAAGTTGTAAAAGCAGATTTTCCTGTAGCATTGTACTGAACTGGGCTAATGTATCATAGGGCTTGAGGATCTCCCCCAATGCTTTCTGTACAGCCTACTGCCGGTAGAAATCTTAATGCAAGCTGTAAGCAATGCCAGTTTGTTTTTGTGGTGCTGAGATTGAACCCAGTGCCTCCTGTACGCTGAGCAAGCACTCTGCTACTGAGCTTCATTCCCACCCCACTTGTTTGACTGTAGCAGAACACGTAACATTGGATAATTCATAATGAACAGACGCTTGGCTGGAGAGTTAGCTCAGTGGCATAAGCATCTGCCCAGCAAGCACACAGTCATGAATTCAATCCCTTGTAACAAAAGAAAAAAAAGAAAAGAACAGACACTTATTTCCTCATAGTTCTGGAAACTGGGAAGTCCAAGGTCAAGAAGCCAACATCTGGTCTAGTGAGGGCCATCTTGTGTCTTCTCATGGCAGTAGGTAGAAGGGCAAGAGAGAGGCAGACTGTGTCTTCATGTGGAAGAGGAACAAACAAAAGAGAGAGAATCCACTCCTCTAAGACCCTTTCATAGGTGGAGGTCTTGTGACTTAAACACCTTCTATAAAGTCCCACCTTTCAACATCATTGTATTGGAATTAATTCCAACACATGAATTTTGGAGGACACATTCGTAATAGTTGATGTCTTGGGTCTGGGGCAGAAGGCAGCTTGGGAGAGTTGTGAGTAGTGAAAAAGAAAATAAAGGAATCATTCCAATGATGCTCTTGCTTTCCACAACTTTGTCTTGGACAAATAGAAACCTGTGCTTTGTACAGGTGTCCTTTGGACTAAAGTCAGGGTGGCACAGAATTTTGAACTTGTAAAACACTGGAAGGAATCAATAAAAGCTTTTGTAGCTGTAAGAATATGAAAAGGGAAATTCTTTAGGACAAACACCATTATCAGGAAAACAGAAAGTAACTGAATAATTTACTAGAAGACAAACATTAGATGTCTATGCACCTAATAAAATGTCCTTATATGAAGCAAAATGTGATACACAGAATGGATAAAATCCAACATCATTTGAAGGATTTTAATTTCTTTTATTTGATTCCTTCATCAAGTAGAAAAGAAAAATGAGCAAAGAATTAGAAAATAAGAAAATAATAAAAGGAAATAAAATAAACAGACACAGAGCAAAGGCCTAAATGAACTAATAAGCTAAAGGCCAGGGTAGAGATGATCCTGTAGGGAAACTGGAGCTGCAAAAGACAAAGGACCAATGGAACCCATGGAGCTGGCAAGGGGAGCCCTGGGTAAACAGCACCATGCAGATACAAACCGGCTACTTTTTGTTTTTTTAAACCGTTCTCCTACATTTTCTGCCCTAGAACACTATACAAAACTTATATTCAGGAACTTGCTTGGTTTCCTCTCCACATCCCCCCCCCCCCCAGCATACACAGAGCTCTTGTCTCCGTTCCTTCTAATAAACCAGATACCTCGGTCTATTCCCCTTTCTGCTCCATCCTGCCCCTCTGTGCAGCCTCATACAAGAACCCACAGAATGAAAGAGCCAGGTACAACCTCAAGACTCAAAACAAACAATGACAAAAAATTTCTTTTCGGGAAAAATATATGCACTTACCACAAAATTCTTAGTAGTAAGTTATCACTAGAAGAGAACAGATAGAGCCTGAGAGAGTATGTATAAAATCCCTAACTCATCCTAACTGAGAAGACTTTGCACACTGGGAAATAGGTATGTCCTCCAAGTCACTTTTACTTAACATTGTCAGGCAAGAGGCTAGGGCAGGGCAAAGCTGGCTGGGGAAGAAGGCGTGACCTGAGAATCACAAAATCCCAGGACACACAGAATGGATCCCATGGCCCTGCGTGTGGACTTCATGTGAGAACGGGAGCAGTGGCCTGGATGTGACATCAGCCTGGAGAGTGGGAGAAATGAAAAGGATAGTCCGC